AAGGCCCATTATACAAGCTAACTTAACAAACAAGCTAACTTAACAAATTAGGGTTTAAACACTAAAACCTAATTCGACAAGCATCCTTCGACAAATACATGCTAGAACCTTCTTCAACTACAGCAAGTACTTCGACCAACTAGAGTTCGATCCAAAATCCCACAAATCTCCACCTTGGACCTAACTCTACAGCATCAAGAGACACTAACTACTTTCTTCATGCAGCTTTATCAACTGCATACAGTGGAAAAACTTGCAACTTGGCAATGTTTTGGTGATCATATCAGCAGCATTGTGATCTGTCGAGACCTTCAGCACTTGGACTTCTCCACGCTCGATTACCCCTCTGACGAAATGCAGCCTCACATCTATGTGCTTGGTTCGCTCATGATAGGCTGAGTTCTTCGACAGGTGTATTGCACTTTGACTATCACATTTAACAGTGATACCTTGACCTTGAAGTTTCAGCTCCTTCGCAAAACCTTCAAGCCACAATGCTTCTTTCACAGCTTCAGTTAAGGCAATATATTCTGCTTCAGTAGTTGATAAGGCAACAACCTTCTGAAGAGTTGCTTTCCAACTAATTGCTGTACCAAACATAGTGAAAACATATCCAGAAATAGATTTCCTGGAATCCATACATCCTGCATAATCAGAGTCAACATAGCCTTCGACTGCTGCTTTACTATCTTCACCCAAGGCTCCACCATAAATTAAGACTCTGTTCAGAGACCCATTTATGTACCTTAGAATCCACTTTAACGCTTGCCAGTGAGCCTTTCCAGGATTCGCCATGTACCTGCTTACAAGACTTACTGCATATGCTATGTCGGGTCTAGTACAGACCATAGCATACATCAAAGAACCAACTATATTAGCATATGGAATGCTGTTCATATAAGTTCTTTCAACATCAGTACTGGGACATTGATCAATGCTCAGCTTGAATTGAGGGTTTGTTGGAGTCACAACAGGCTTTGAATTCGACATACCAAACTTGTCAAGAATCTTTCGTAGGTATGCCTCTTGAGATAAGCATAATTTCGACTGCTTTCTATTTCTTCGAATGTCAATTCCAAGAATCCTAGATGCAGCTCCCAGATCCTTCATGTCGAACTCCTTATTGAGTTCAGCCTTCACCCTCATTACATCTTCGACATTGTTGCTTGCTATCAGAATATCATCAACATAAAGCAACAAAATAACAAATGAATTTTCAGGTCGAAATCTGGAGTAAACACAATGGTCGAACTGACTTCGAATGAAACCTATGTGTTCCATGAACTTGTCGAATCTCTTATTCCACTGTCGAGGAGATTGTTTAAGTCCATATAAAGATCTCTTCAGTTTGCACACATAATCTTCTTTCCCCTTTTCGACATACCCTTCAGGTTGCCTCATCAGGATTGTTTCATCTAAGTCACCATACAAGAACGCAGTCTTCACATCCATTTGTTCCAGTTCAAGGTCGAACTGAGCCACCATGGCAAGCAACATTCGGATGGATCTGTGCTTCACAACAGGGGAAAATACATCATTGAAGTCGACACCTTCTTTCTGAGTGAAACCCCTTGCGACTAATCTTGCCTTGTACCTCTTCGACATTACTCCTTCAATTCCTTCCTTAACTTTGAAAATCCACTTACAGCTGACTAACCTTGCCCCAACAGGTTTCTTGATCAGTTCCCAAGTGTGATTATCATGAAGAGATTTCATCTCATCATGCATGGCCTTTAGCCATTCAGTCTTCATTCGACTCCTTATAGCTTCCTTATAATCTCTAGGTTCTTCGTCTAGAACTTCACTTGCAGAGATTAAGGCATAAGCTACAAGATCTGCATATCCAAGTCTCTGAGGTGGTTTTATGACTCTTCTTTGCCTATCTCTCGACAATAGGTAGTCATCAACAGTTTCCTCAACATCATCAGAATCTTCTGTTTCTTCTTCGACTTCATCTGGGATACGCATTTCAGCATCAACATGCTCCACCTCAACAGGAATCTCTACCTGTTCCAGCTCTTCGTCAACATCATCAGTTTTCTTGAAAGCCATTTCAGTTTCATTGAAAACTACATCTCGACTGGTGATACACCTCCTGTGACCTGGCTCTAGGCACCATAGCCTATAAGCTTTCACTCCTTCAGGGTATCCCATAAACATGCATTTCAGAGCTCTAGGTTCGACCTTGTCTTGCCTAATGTGAGCATAGGCTACACAGCCAAATACTCTTAGTTTGTCGAGATCTGGTGGATGTCCCGACCAAACTTCTTCGGGTGTCTTCATATCTAACGCTGTCGAAGGACATCTGTTTATCAGATATGCTGCTGTCGAAACAGCCTCAGCCCAAAACACCTTCTTTAATCCCGCACTAGTCAACATGCATCTAACTCTCTCCAAAATAGTTCGATTAAACCTTTCAGCCAAACCATTTTGTTGTGGAGTACCTGCGGTAGTTCTGTGCCTTGCAATACCAGAGGCAACACAAAAACTGTTGAACGCCTCATTGCAAAACTCAAGGCCATTGTCGGTTCTCAACCTCTTTACCTTTCTGCCAGTTTGATTTTCGACAAGAGTCTTCCAACTTTTGAAATTCTCAAAAGTTTCATCCTTAGTCTTCTGGATGAATACCCATAACTTTCTGGAATAGTCATCTACTATGGATAGAAAATACTTTGCTCCTGAATGTGATGGACACCTTGCAGGCCCCCAAAGATCAGCATGGATGTAATCAAGGGATCCATGTGTTCTTTGTTTGCCTTTGTTGAACTTCATTCTACAGGACTTTCCAAGTACACAGGGTTCACAAAACTTCAGCTTTTCGACTTTATCTCCACCAAGCAGATTTTGTTTCCCTAATTCGACCAGACCCCTTTCACTGACATGGCCCAATCTCATGTGCCAAATTTCTGTCTTCGACAAAGGTTTCGTGGATGCAACATTTGTCGAACCACTTACAACTTCAGCCTCAAGGGTATACAAGCCTTGTTTCTTCACGCCTCTCAAGACTTCCTTCGACCCTTTCATGACTCTCAGGATACTTTTCTCTCCTTGAAACACATATCCTTTCTTGTCGAATTCACCAAGAGAAATCAAATTTCTCTTCAAATCAGGTACATACCTGACTTCAGTCAACAATCTTATTGACTCATCATGGAGCTTGAATCTCACAGATCCAACGCCTGCAATCTTGCAAGCTTTGTTGTTTCCCAGCAATACAGATCCACCATCTTGATCACATAATTCCTCGAACAAGTCTTTGTTTGGAGTCATGTGCCAAGTGCATCCAGAATCCATAATCCATTCCTTCGACGAGTTGTTGCTTGAAACCACAAGAACATCAGATGATTCGAAATCATCTTGGACAATAGCTGCATTGCCATTATCCTTACCTCCATGATCTTTCAGGCGTTCAGGGCACACCTTTCTTGTGTGACCTACTTTCTTACAGTGATAGCATCTAATACCAGATGCGTCACCACTATAAGACTTCGACTGATTTTTACCTTTCCTCTTGTCGAATTTTCCTTTAACAGCCAAACCTTCACCAACCGTCGAGGGTTTTTGCTCCTTTCGTTCGTTCAAGTCCTTAGAGTACAAAGCTGATTGAACTTCTTCAAAGGTCAGGGACTCTCTTCCATACAAGAGGGTTTCTTTGAAGTGAGCATGTGATCTGGGCAAAGCGCACAACAATAACAGCGCTTGATCTTCATCATCAATCTTTACATCAATATTTTCAAGATCAAGAATCAGCTTGTTGAACATATCCAACTGCTCAGCCAACACTTTGTCTTCAATCATCTTGAATGAATACAAAGCTTGCTTCAGGTAGAGTCGATTTACCAGAGATTTGATCATATACAAACTTTCAAGTTTCACCCATAACCCTGATGCCGTCGTCTCCTTTGATACCTGTCGAAGAACCTTATCACCAAGGCTCAACAAAATTGCGCTGTGTGCTTTCTCGATCATGGCCGTCTTCTCTCTTTCTGTTAACGCAGCGTCCATCGCCGTCGCTCCCTTCAACGCTTCCAAACAACCCTGCTGAACCAGTAGGGCTTTCATCTTTAAGCGCCATAGACCGAAATCATTCACTCCGGTGAACTTTTCAATCTCATACTTTGTCGAAGGCATCTTCTCCACGCTCACCGCACCAATTTGTTGTGAATTCAATGCCACTAACAAAGTATAGAATTAAGGGAAGAATAAAGAACAAGGAAGAGGAAGAACACAAGAATTGGTTATAACTGCTATTCTTTACTTTCTCTTAGAAAACAAGATTACAAGTTTACAAGAATAACAAATAACCCTCTCACCCTAAATTAGGATTTGCTGTGATGGCAATGATGAGAGACTAGTATGCTATTTATAATAAAACCTAACATACTAACTAATGGGTTTTTTCCACAAGGCCCATTATACAAGCTAACTTAACAAACAAGCTAACTTAACAAATTAGGGTTTAAACACTAAAACCTAATTCGACAAGCATCCTTCGACAAATACATGCTAGAACCTTCTTCGACTACAGCAAGTACTTCGACCAACTAGAGTTCGATCCAAAATCCCACACTATGGCTATGCACATCCATTAATTGAGGAAATATTTATTTTTATTGGTCTGTGTGATGTTGAAATTTTTATGTTTTTGCTCTTTATGAAATATCATATGAGATATGCAAACATGTACAAAATGGTTATAATTTTACTCTCATTTTGTTTTTTATGTTCACGCTGCAGAAGTAACTCGATTGCTGTCAAACTTTCTTTCTATCTTGGTAAGCATTCTTCTCCTTCATAGAGATATAGTTGTTATTCACTATTTAGTGGCAATTGCAATAGCATTTTAGTTGTTATTTGTGTATCCTTAACTATAAAGTATGCTCCTAGCTATGTGTGGAGGAGTATTCTCTGTGCTAGAGATGTTGTTTTGGCAGGTTCCCCGTGGCATATTGGCGATGGTGCAAAAGTGAAGGTGTGGACTGACAACTGGATACCGAAAAATGACAGCTTCAAAGTTATTAGTGCTAGGAGCGGGCATGACCAAGAGGAATCATGACCTGGGCATTTGGATGACGAATTTGTTGAACTCCTGGTTTGATCCGTGGGAAGCACATCAGATTGCTTGCATCCCTATCTCGAGGAGTAGCCTAGTAGACAAGCTGGTGTGGCACTGGGAAAAAGATGGCGAGTACTCCGTGCGATCCGCATATCATCTCCTAAGAGCCAAGCGTGAGGCTCTCAAGGAGGGACCCTCAAGCCCTCTTTATTCTTCTCTGTGGAAGAAACTCTGGAAGGCTCCGGTTCATGTGCGTATCAGAAATTTTCTTTGAAGGTTCAGTAAAAACATCCTGCCCACGAAGTCAAATCTTGAGAAAAAAGGTATGAAACTTGAAAACTCCTGTCCATTATGTCATGTTCAGGTGGAATCTATCCAGCATGTGTTCTTGGTTCGTCCGTTTGCAAAAGCTGTCTGGTTCTCTTCCCCCTTGGATCTTCATATTCCTCTTAACCCTGATCTGTGCAAATAGTTGGAGGCTGGTCTTGATGCTAAGGATGCTTTAGGCTCTCAATTGGTTTGCACAACCCTTTGGAAAATCTGGAAAGCAAGGAACGATTATGTTTTCTCAAATGTGCGGGTGAGACCACAGGATGTTGCCCACCGGGCTAGGGACTATGTCATGGAGTTTAATTTTGCAAATCCCCATCTGTGCTTTAAGAAGAAGATTCCCTCTGGGGATGAGAATGTCGATTGCCGGCCTGGTTGTTACAATGGTGGATGCGGGGTGTTTCAATGATGGTGTAATGGCTATGGGGGCTGTCATTCGGGATAGCCACCGCAATGTGATTATGTCTTCTTGTTGCAGGAAACGGGTTGATGTGGACCCATGTACAGCGGAAGCGATGACAATTGAATGGGGACTCAGTTTGGCCTGCCATTTAAATTTCAAGAAGATTATGCTGCAGTCTGATGCTAAGGTTGCGGTTGATTGTATCAATCACCTGATCCAGCATGCGAATCTTGGCCCTTTGGTGGTGGATTGTAATAGTTTAATGAACAAGTTTGATTTTATTTCTGTTATGTTTATTATGCAAACTGTCAATGCTGTTGCTCATAATTTAGTTGGTTTAGGTAGAAGGATTGGTAGTAGAACTTGGTTGGATTTCACCCCAATGATGTCTGATTACCCTGTACCGTCTTCGTTTGTTTCATTTTAATGAAGGATGTTAGTTATAAAAAAAACTATTGTGTGTTAATGTTAGTGTAATGTTGATGTGTGTCTCTAAATGGAACTAGAGTGTTTATTATCATTGTAAGTCTGAAGCTTATCCATCAATGCTCAATGTTGCTGCGTGATTTTCTTTGCTTAAGATTGGGTTCATTTGGAATCAATCTCAAGAATCAAGATGCATTCATTCGGTGAATCACTGTCCTAGATGTATCGAACTTATAGAGGCTACTTGTCATGCAAGTAGTCAAAGATGCTTTGATTAATTTTGGAAAATATTCTTTGATTAGATCTTTTCGTCAAATTTTACGCTATTGTTTTCTTGATATGATTTATTCAATCCACCTGAATGAATGCTGAATCTCTGTTGTTATCAATGCTAATGGCCATTGAGTGTATTAGTTTGTGTTCAATGTTCATAGTGCAAGATATATCAGAATCTAAGGCCTGATGCTATGTCTTTCCTTACTTTCATTTTTTGCCTAGTGCCTTTTGTTTCCATCTGTCACATTTATTCCATCTTTTCTAAAATGTGAGTTGTTCCTTGACTTGATTTTTCAGAAGGAATTAGATGGTAATGGGAGACTAAGAAAGAATGTTAAGCCAGCTATGTTTTGTACTGCCAATGATTTACAAGAATGGAAAGTTTTCCCAAAGGACTCAACTCAAGGTTCTTCTCCTTGAGGGAGATACACTTCTGCAATTGAGATAAGAGCAAAGCTTGAGGGGATGTATACAGTCGTAAGTTTTTTTTCCGATTTTTTCTATGTATTTTGGTGTTGTCTCACTTCATCTCCATGAAATTTGGTCTGCCAATTCCTTTTTTTATTACTCTGGTCTCAAATACTCCCTTCAACCTAATTAAGTGGCCTCAAATATAAGAAAAAGTTAATAATTTCAACTCTATTTAATATCAACACTCCCAATGAACCCATTATTATGGCGTAGTATAATTTTTATGATTGCATACAAATTTAAATGAAGTTAACCAGTATTCTTAATACGCCAGTAGTTGGAAATGAATCTTATCAATTTTTTTTCTGTCATGATTTTTCAAGTGTCCACATCTCTAGTCTTAAATCTCTCTCTTGTTTTTATGAAGCGTTGACCAAACTGACACTAATTGCGGATGCTAAAATATTAGTGTCTTTGACCAACACTAAATAATGTGGGTTGAGCCAAGGCAATGTTATCTTGCGCTAATAATGAACTGACATCAGTGTCTATATTGCGGCCGTGTAATTAACACTTAACACTTAATAGCCTCTGCTCTTAAGAAGTGGACGATTAAATATTTAACTTTAGGACTTAGTGTTTGGCCACGACACCAACCTCAAGCTAACACTAAATCAAGTAAGATGGTTGAATCGTTTTGTCGATAAATTCTTTGTGAACACATCTGCCAACTTATGTCCAAAAGATATGTAGGTGGTAGTTATTAATCAACTATTCAACTTTTTTGTTGAAATGTCGGTCAATCTCAATGTGTTTTTTCCTGTCATGTTAAACCATATTACGTGCAATATTGATGGCCGAATAATTGTCACAAAACAACTTTATAAAGCCTTCACGCTATATCTTCAAATCTTCTAGTGCTTGTTTCATCCTTAATAGTTCATAAATTCCTAATGTCGTAGTTCTCATTTCTGCTTCAACGCTTGATCGAACATCTGCACTTTGCTCATTACTCCTCCAAGCAACAAGGTTTCCACACAAAAAGGTACAATAGCCTGAAGCAAATCTTCTATCAATCAATGAACCTGCATAATCAACATTAGTGTAAGTTTTCATAGTTGGGCTTCCACCTCTTATAAACAAAGTTCTTTATCTAAAATGACTTTGAGATATTGTAGAACACGGTCAATAGCCTGCAAGTATCCCACCTTCAGATTAAGAATGAATTGACTCACCACATTGATTGCATATGTCAAATTCGGCTTAGTGTGTGCCACATAAATCAACTTTCCCACTAACCTCTGATCATGACCCTTGTCAACCGTCACTTTCCTCCTCATATTTCATCTGAAGATTATGTTCAATAGGACCACTAATAGATTTACATTCAAGTTTTCCTATTTCCTTCAAAAGATCAAACACATTTTTTTGAGAGATAAAAATGCATTTATTTGAATGGACTACCTCAATTCGCAATAAGTAATTAAATCCTCTAAAGTCTTTCATTTCAAATTCTGTCGATAATTTCTTTTTAAGTAGTTGTCTCTGTCAAATCATCTCCTGTAACAATGATATATCGTCAACATAAACAAGAGTACAATCTGCATTCCTCCTTGTGTATGTTTAAAAAATCAAGTGTAATATCTTTGACTTTGCTCAAAATTCAAACACAACATTGCCTTTGTGAATCTTCCAAACCATGTTTGAGGGGACTACTTTAATCCATATAAGACCTTTTGCAGTCGACACCTTGTTGGCTCCACCTGTGGTAGTACTATAACCGAGTGGAATCTCTATATACATTTTCTCTTCTAAGTTTTCATGTATGAACACATTTTGAACATGAAATTGTTGTAAATCCCCTCCAAAATAAACAACAAGATATAGTAAGGTATTCATCTTTGCCACTAGTGCAAATGTTTCTTCATAATCAATGTCATATTTCCGTGTATAACCTTTTGCCACTAGTCTTACCTTGTAACGATCAAGGGTGGCATCTGATTTGTGCTTTACAGTATAAATTCATTTGCATTCAACTGATTTCTTGCCTCCTTGCCTCTCAACAATTTCCCAAATACCATTTTTCTCAAGAGCTTTCATTTCCTCACTCATAGCTTGGGCCAATTTTTATATTTGAATGCTTCTTCAACATATGATGAGATTCTCACATCATCAATACCTACAATAAAACTTTGATACTGCTTAGAAACATGTTTAGAGGAGACATAATGAGAAATATGATATCTATACTTGGAGGGACAAAATATTTTATCTTTTCTCAAAGCAATGGGTAAATCATTCAGATCAATATAACAAGTATCAGAAATTTGAGATTTAACAATAGAAGAGTCATTTTCAATACTTCTGGTTCAAGCGATTGAATTTGTTTCTGAAGCAGGTCAGATTTACTCTTTCTCTGATCACTGTAATTGATGTTGAAGGTGTTGGTTCCTGCAAAACGGAAGGCAATGGAGGAACAAAAATATACTAGATGTAGATTCAAGACTATTATTAGGATGTTCGGGTTGGGCCTAACTCAATCCTACAAAACCGGCTTGTAAGGTGATGATTACTCCCACTTATAAACTCATGTTCAGGCCATATATTATCCGATGTGGAACTCTTAACACCCTCTCTCACGCTCAGGAATTGGGGCTAGAGCGTAGAATTAAATGGTGGGTGGCCCAATGGAGCCTACTAAGAGATAAATCTTCATCATACGCTACTCGGTTGATCCACTGTCTTCCGGTGAGAAATTTTCTTCTGCAAAACGTGTCATCATTCCGGTTTGCTTCACCTTTTTTTAAAAAAAATTTTCCAGCGAGCTTCGTCGCCACACTGTTCACGAGAAAGGGGAAATTTTTTTCGGGGCGCTACTGTTCACAGCCGCCGCCACAGTTCACCGACGTAGCCACTGTTCATTATCGTCGCTACTGTTCACGATTTTTTTTACCAGAAAATTGCCTCCCTCCTCTGGTTCCAGATCTGCCCTCGGTTTCCATTTTCGACTCACAGAAAGTCATACTCTAGTTCAAACAATCCCAATTGTTGTGTTTTAAGCCATGTGAGATATTGATTTTGTCTTGTTTACTAAAGTTCCGCTTATCCCATGTGAAAAACTAACCGGATCAGCCAACTATAACATATGGGCTTGTGCTGTCGAGATATGGTTTCACGGTCAAGGATATGAAGAGCATATAACCACCCAATTAAGTGACGTTGCACCCACCAAACTCGCTAAATGGAAGAAAGTTGATGCCTCTTTGTGTATTGTGTTGTGGTTTTTCATAGCACCTAACCTCCAAGCTCAGTACCAAGCATTCTCCACTTGTTATGAGGTGTTGCAAAAGGCCAAGAAAGTCTTTTCCAACGACTTTCATTCTCTATACAGTGTCATCCACAAACTCAATACACTGAAGTTGGAAAATATAGATGTGCAAAGCTTATCTGAGTAAGCTTGATGCCTTGAAAGCAAGTTACATGACCCGCATGCCTTACGCAAAAGATGCAATAACTCATGCCGAAGAGTAAATATTTCATGGTCATGATACTTAAAGGACTACCATCACAACTCGAATCCGTTCGTAACCAGATTTTATCAGGTACTACTGTTCCTAACTATGATACAATTAGTGAACAATTATTGCGCTTGGCTACACCTCATGTGTTTGACCCGATTTCTCCTCCATTTATTGTTATTCCAACACCAAGTGACACTGCTAGTCTTGCATCTCTTGGCAACAATCATAATCGCCTTCGAGGAGGGTCATCCAACTCCAAACCTCGTCCTAAGTGCATACTATCGATCATTGCTGGAAGTTGCATAGCAAACCTCTACGATAGGTAAATGAAGCTCAAATTGATAACCCAAATACTATGCAGACTTCACCTTCTCTTCATAACCCTACACCAAGCTACGAGGATTTTCTCAAGTGGTGTCAGACTAACCAGACCTCTGGTTCCACGGCTTCGATTGCACACACTGGTAATTCATGTGTTTGCGTCTCTCAATCATCTCCTCTTGGTCCTTGGGTTCTCGACTCCGGTGCGTCTGATCATGTTACTGGTAATAAAAATCTTTTCTCTTCCCTTTCTACCTCTGGTTTCTTATCGAATATAACTGCCGCAAATGGTTATCAAACCCGATCCCAAGGGGTCGGTACTGTTTAAATTCTACCATCTCTCTTTGTTACTTATGTCTTATATGTACCTAATTGCCCATTTAATCTACTGTCAGTCAATCGTTTAACTCGTTTCCTTAGTTGTTCTATCACTTTTACTAACAGTAATGTTATTCTAGAGGATCAGAGTTCA